TTGACCAAATTCCTGTATATATACTCTCCAAAACATAAGTATGGTGATACCCACTCCACTGATTGCAGAGTATGGCTCCCGGATAGACTTTTCTGGTATAAATCCTTAGTTATAGTACGTCGGACCAAATGTCTGTGTATATAATGTCCTAGACTAAGAGACACCACTTTTATTTGTTACAGTCGTATATTCAAGCCTGGCATGCATAATTAGTTACAAAGAACAAGTTAAACGACTATAAAACCGTGCAATAGTAATATAAATTGGACTGTGAAATGACGTAGTGGACGGTTTGACACCTCCACCACCCGTCTTATCGACCACGTCACGTTTAAGTGTCATCCAGCCATCCGTATAATGACCATTAATGAGTCAATTAGTAAGAATTACATGGCTCCGAGTCTCCAGCACAGTTTCCTGAGAAGTCACAGAACTCAACCATGCCTCGTTATTTTATGGTGATGTATGTTCATAGTTTATATGCAGGTGCCGAGAAATTGATAAATTGTTGTAAACCAGTTACACTCAGCAGGAAACGCACATTTAGCTTAAATTTCGATTAGATAAATAGGCAATTTGTTGTTTGTTAATCATAGACATGGGGGAAACGAGCAACGAGCACTAGAAAAATGCCAGAGAGAAAGCGAGGTTTATACATTAGTTCCTGGATAGCTATCGCTTAGACTGGCTTAACTCAAGTAAGTGGCGTAGCCACTGACCAAGTATTGTTTATATACGATATAGGACTTTGGTGTGTAACAAACGAAGCCCTGTTCCAGCGCCAACAGTTTCTATCAAACTTGTATTGACACTGAAAGCCACTTGCCCTTTTCCATGACCCGGTTTAATATGATTATAGCTAGATGAATGATGCTGGTTTACAGACATACAAAAATGTCTTCAGGTTAAAGTATCAACCTCTTATGTGTTGATGACGATGAACGTCGTTTTTTCATCATGAGCTCTGCCTTTTCTTAAAAAAATAACTCTAAATCACACCTTAAAAGTAGAACTGATGTGATTCAAACTAGTAATATCATATAACGCACAAGGAATTCACAATAGAAATTTTATTAAAAAGAATCCTTTCCTCTTATGTCAGTTTCATAAAAAATGTATCGTTTACTTGTTAGTTTAAATACCATTCTTCTTTCGGTCACATCGATGAGACAAAACATTATTTCATAAACATGAATTTATTGTATTAATTGATTTATTCATGAACCACTTTAGATTTAGAGGGTTGACTTCCTCGATTATTACTGCGTTATTTAATTATACTGATCGGAGTTATCTATTTAAAATAACAACAGCGGCTTATACCAACAATTATCCTAATTTAAATTATAGATGCAACAATAAGTATATAATTATATATATATGTGTAGATGCAAAGTCGCAGAAATAATATCATTTGAAAAAGTAGTGATATAAATATTGCTCTATGGTTCAGTTAAACATGGGTTGTATTTTGAATAAGGAGTAACGAATTATCGCTAACTTTGGTATATGAAACGTTGGTTAACATTTGAATAAAGACGTATACAATCCTTGCTAACTTTAGTATATTAAACGTGTGTTAAATTTGATAAAAGAGAGATATATTAACTTTTGCAATTTTAGTATATTTTACACGATGGTTACACGTGTATAATGTTTGGAAAGAATGATGTAACTATTCCTAACTTTAGTCATTTAAACGCGAGTTAAACTTGAGTAAGGATTAATATATATACCCTTGATAATTTTACTTCATTAAACGATGGTTATAATGTACGCAAGGAGTGAGGGTACTATTCCTAGCTTTAATATACCAAACGCGTGTTAAATTTAAGTATGGAGTAGACTTATGGAATGATACATTATCTTGCTATATTAAATGTTAGCTTTTAATATGAGTACCGAGTTATGTATTAACTGTTGCTAACTTGAGTATATTAAATGTAGGTAAAAATTTGAGTAAGGATTAATAAAACTATTAATTACTTTAGTCAATGCAACTTGGGTTATAGTTCAAGCAAAACATAAAACGCTATTTTGCTACATTAGAGTATATAACGTAGGTTATAATTCAGCAAAAAATAAAAACAATATTGCTAATTTTAGTGTTACTTATGTAATAACATGAGTGAAGAGTAATATAATTCTTGTTACATAAAGTATATGAAACATGGGATTTAATTTGAGAATAGAGTAATATAACTTTACGTTACTTCTGTCTTTTACACGCGGGCTCAATTTTGAGTGAGGAGTAATGTAATGTTTGTTAAAATCAGTATATTAAAGGGTTACATTTTAAGTAAGAGGTATTATAATCTTTGCTTACTTTTGTATATTGAACTCGTATTTACTTATTTAGCGTAAGGAATACTGTATCTTATGATATTTTCAGTATATAACACACGGTTATAACTTAAGATCTAAAGTACTGATATGACCACCGCTATCTTTAGATATTAAACGTGGGTTACAACTTGAGCAAGGATTGATTTAACCATTGTTAGGCATCGTGTTACTTCAGTTATAATTGTTTTCAAATCCACTGGTTCATACATACGATAACTTACTTACTATCAAGGTCATAAATCTTACATGTCAGGGCGGCAGAGGAGGCTAAGTAGCCTCTGAAGAATTCATTTTCCATCTGGATTTTCGATCTGTGTTTATCAATAAGCTTCAGTTGAAACGGAAATCTCCAGAGGATGGTCGGCGAACGAGGAGACCAGGGATAAAACAAACACATAGGCCATGCTTGTCGGCTTTTAATTGACCATAATGCTCGTATGACACCCAAACCAACAACCTTCCGTCATGGACGTTCGACTGATGTACCATCAAGAATGCCCATTGGTGTCATAAATATCACGAATGCAAACACACAACGGGTGATAAAATAATTCAACGATATAATGAAGAGCGTTTTCTTCTACAATTTAGTTTTAATGATATTTGTTTTCGGATATCTCGGACTGTCATGACTGTCCCTAAGTCCTGCTCAATTCATAACGTTAAGAAACAAACGTTCATGTTGATTAAATATATGGTAGTAAATATATGAGGGTGTCTGTCTGATTTCATTTTAACTCATTCACCCCTGAAATTTCATAAAGAGTTACCCCAACCTTTGCATTGGAAGAGTTCAAATGTGTCCTCGTGGGTGAATAAGTTAACATCACTAAATGTATGCTTTCATTGCACGTTTTGATCAGGGCTTTGTGTCATCGCAATAGCTAAGGTGATATGAAGATGAGAGACTAGAGACACACAGGCGGAAAGACAGAAGGTAGGGGGAAAAAAAGAAAGAAAAAGAAAACCAAAATATAGAAGGAAAACGATAAGGAAGAGAAATAAAAAAAATATACGTATATAGCCTTGTCATTTTAACAGCACAGAATACATACGAGAATTGTATAAAATGAATTCAATAATACTAATATATGTGTTTGTGAAGGGAAAATAAGGGTGTATGCTAATACTATATTACATTACAATCATGCAAACTAAAGTCAAAAGCGGGACAAATCTCTCAATATATCACATTATTAATAATGCATATATTATAATGCAAACTAACCTAACAGAAAAAGTAGTATTTTGTTGAAATCAAAAGTAAATGTTCTTTACCTCAAATAATTTACTTTCAATTTGTTCTTTATAAAACAAAACCCATATTGAAATAAATATGTATTTTACATTTGATAAAAAGTTATAACAATGATGTTAAATCGATGGAAAACATGTATCAACTATCAATGAAATACACGAAATAACATTTCAACATACACCAGATTTACATAATGCTTTTCGAAATATCAACATATACATATACAATGTAACTCTACAAATTATACAGTCACGCGGTACCATTGCGAGGAAAGGTCATGTTTTCAGAGTCTAGTCGAAAACAATGTGCGAAGGTGATAAAAGTGTTAAGATAATATTCAACTATTTTACATTTATGCATAACACAACACGTATAACATATGCACATTTTCAAATTGATAATACTATCATGCACTGAAAGGAGGCACATTGTATAATGTCATGACGAGTAAACTGCTGGCATCTTATAAAGAATTATCCACAAGTCTACCAGTCCTACCGATCATAGGTACATGGGGCAAATGGGAGTAGATGAAATATAAAAATAAATTTACAAATCAAAGTTGTCGATCTAACGAATGCCTCTGGATGTATTGTGTATTTTACCATCATGGCAACCAGTAACTATGCTTTAGTAGTGGACTTTGTTGAGAATTCATAAATAAGTAAGGCCTTGAATATGTGTAACAAATGTCAGTGCAACTGTGAATGTACTAATAAACAAGAAGATTGTACTAACTTTATATCAAAAAAATGTTATAAAGTCTTCGTGATTTTGTATTTTATTTCTGTACTACTTTATTGAAATGCTCCTCGGGGGTTTTGCCTACTAGAAAATGGATGTCCATGTATATAAATTATAAAACCTGATTCCAAATCTATTATTTTACATATTGATTGTATTGAGTCTTAGTCAATTCGGTCAGTTTGTATAAACTATATCATGTTTGAATATTGATAAAACAATGCCAGTCTTCAATATTTATATCATATGTGACTAAAAAAATAAATAAATGTCCTAGCGAAATAACGGTCTTTCAAATAAATTGCATATTATAACAATTTATATGAAAGAATAACTGTCAGGTTGTAAAGAATATGCGTTAGAGCAATGAACATATTAATAACACATATTCGATTTTCATGTTTCTATCAACAACCAAAAATTCACGGAAGTGATTTAAATACTCACCTATTACAAAAGTAGTATGTTAAATTGAAATAACTACTTGAAAAAAATATATAAAGTTCAAATTTCATCGACAGATTGTATTTAATTATTTCACAAGTTAATTCGTGACTTAAAATGCTAATCATGATCGTTGTCAAATGTACTACAACATTGCTATCAAGTAGATAATGCATGAATATCAAATTAAAATCTCTGAGAATCTTACCTGCCAGCTTTGGTGACAATCATTTCTGTGCCGAGTTCATCAAACTCGTCCCAAAGAGATTTCATTTCTAGGTGAGCACTAACGTTTAACAGTTTTGAATGAAGTGGTTTTTTGGGCGTATCCGATTTGTCCTCCATTCCGGCAGTTTCTCCCTCACAGTTTTCTTTAACACAAGTCCTAGATTCATCGCAATTGAGCCCCGGGCTTGTTTTGTCACACACACCTCCCTCACTGATCCCAGTATGCCCGGGGGGTCGGGCAGAACTCTCTTGGTATGTGTCTATACGATTAGAATCATAGTAGGGTCTTCCTGTTCCGGCATTTAAAATGCATGCTACAAAAAACGAAAGATAATATTATTTTACTAAAGTCCAAAGACGGAAGTAAACCATTTGTACACAATAGATGTTTGATAAAGTAATATTTGATGACCCAAACAAACAAAGAATGTTTCATTAAAAGATGGTTGTGAAAAAAGTGGGTTCGGCAAAACATTTTATTTGTTATATTCTTATAATGTGCGTTATATGGAACAGTCGTCTTGATTTAAACAGTGCAGGTTTCAAAATTTGCATATGATCAATATAACATGGTAGGCGATGACATCTAGAATTTGTAGGTTTACCAGACACATTGACATATAGTTATATAATGCATATATACAGTTTCTGTAAATCCAAATTTTGAATTATATACAACACCGATATCGGTAATATCTTCCAAACTGTTCTTTATTAATGTAAAACTTCAGAATCAGAGAAAATAATTGAAAGCAGATTATTGCTCACAAGGTAAAAGCAAACACAAGGAAATTAATGATTCATTCGAAGACGAGAAAATTGGATGATAAAGAGGAGAGATTCTATTTAAGATAACATGACCAAATTTAGAAAATCTTGAAATTCAGATGACAGAGAGTGGGGGGAAAATGAACAAAAACGTGGAAAACGTTTTCAAACATGTGTAAAAAAATAAACAAAATCTGGACTCATTCGCAATAAAAAAGAAAACAATCGTAGAAGAATTGCATCCGGCGTAAAAGGAAACAAGTCTTGCTAGAATGAAAATACAAGTCATATCTGTAAACAGCGGATGATTCTGTTTCAACGTCAACAGTTCAGTTTGACAGTAGACACATTGAAATGATCAAACTCTGCGTGTTACATTACGTTTGTAGTGTGTAGGCGACCGATGGAAAGCACACGTCTATCATTAGCACCTTAAAGTGTGAAATATTTTAGCACGTGCATGAGATACGGATCACGCGCATGTCACTGACGACGTGCACGGTTGACCGCGTACAGTGAAAATACCAGAGTGTTTACAGAGATGGCCTTATCGGTGTGTAAAAACACTTGTCATCGAATTATCCATGAGGCTTCAGTTACTAATGATTATCAAAAGATCATGCCAAGTCTGCTTGCCCCTTTCACTTACATTCCAAAACTACCTATTGAAGGAATAATAGAGTTAGAAGACGTTCTGCAGTACCTGGATCGAACTCCAATTCAATTAGACTGTTCTATTTTCTTTCCGATTTTTCTCATTTTACAACGTATATCAAGTACATTAGTTTAACCAGAAAATAGTAATCCGTTTAAATTAGTAAGTTTCAATTAATGGAATACCTTTCGGTATAACGTTTATGTCATCATTTATGAAAATACAATGTTTTGCTGAAAATTAACATACTCTCTTTTCTTTTTATCAAATAATACTTAAATGTGGGATGTGAATGTCCAAACGGAATTTTTAATAGCTGAAGAGACAATAGTTTGAAAATTGTGTTTTTTTAATAAATCTTAAACAATGATAGATTGTTTTGTACAAGTGATGAAACCGAAGCCCAAAATTTACTACAGTATTATTTTGTATATGAAATGTACAGTGATAAAGACAAGGTTATAACAAAATTACATACGCGCACACATACACAGTATAAAGCACCAAATAAAAAGGAAATTTGCATAATTTTTGATACATACATTGCATAATAATTATCATTAGATTAACTTTACAAAATTCGAATGTTCTTTACCAAGTAATATAAAGTAGTTATTTTGTCGTACTCAACAAACCTAGTGCATATACAAGTTGCTATTTAAGAACTATATACATTATTTATTATAAGTAGTAAAACAATATGAAGTAGTAATGTATATTGCAAAAAGTGAAATCAGAACCAGTGAAACATTTATAGACGAATGTATCTTTTAGAAAAATTGATATTAATTGAGAAATTCTTTCCTGAAATGAAGGCTAATAATGAAGTACCAGGTTCAAGGGCTCCTCGTTGTGTTGGGAACTTGGTTTTCCTATTTCTAATACAATTCCAGTCATATTCAGTAATGTCAATATAATGATCTTGATCATACTTACGTGTAAAATTATATTATTGATATTTTCATAATTGATAAGATTTATACTCAATTACAAATACACTGTCAGGATTGCAAAATTATGACCGAAAGCTTATTTATGGTCAGCTATATCTAGATCTATTGTCTTTTAAAACGCCATGATTGTTGGCCAAATCTGACGACAGGGAATATGACAATTGTTTTTCATTTAAAAAAGAATAGCGGCCGACCAGAATATTAAGTCTGTGATGATGATAAGTTTATAAGAACATAGAACAAAAAAAACAATTGCATAGCTTTAGCATTTTGATGCCGGGGTGAAAAATCGAAGAAACATGGTAAACCCGTATGTATTGTCAAATAACTGTATCTTGTTTTACAAGCTATATATTAGAGTCAAATTATCCAACCTTATTTAAAAAAAACTGGACTAAATCATAATTTTGATTTAGTAGTGGTCTTTTTCAATTATGATTATAATAAAAAATGTCAATTATACAATTTCGACCTCAATATTTTTTGAGCTCTTAGTAAGAAATCATTATAACGGTTTTTTGTCCACATATATTATATAGATATACAAATTCATTATTAGTGCGTTAGATTAATAGAAATGTGTTTATATGTGTGTTAAGTAGAAATATATAGACACAAATTGTGAATAGTTGAAATTGAATAATGATTAATCGGAGAATTCATTTTTTGCATTGGATTCAAAGAGCAAAGATGGGCGCCAAACGAATTATTCGCAGGGAAAAACATACAGAAATTTCGATTTTCACGAAACATTAAATAAAATGCCTCAGAACCTCAAATAACAGTATATGATAAAAGAAATATATCAAAAAGGTGATATTCTTGTTTATCTGAACAGGCAGATTCACCGGTGGTCAAAATATGGTACTTTGTTAGAAAGACCGTGCGGACCTCACGCATAATCCGCTACAACCGTTAAAAAGGCATTGCATGGTTTCTTGTAAAGTAGTTAGCAAGGATCAAACCGGTTTTAACTACTCTAACAGTGACGGATGGCAACGCTAAAGAACAACTTTGCCAGAAACATTTTGTTTTCTCGTTGGTAAAGAAATGCTAAAATTGTTGATTGGAATAACATAACGGCGAAACATATTATAAATATAAATTATCTTGTAATCATGTAATTATTATTGAATAAATAAATGACAAAAGTTTCATAATATTGTATTATACGTCCTGTGGTTATGGTTTTGACAGTCAGTTTATTTACGCACCGTATAGTGGTGCATGTGCCTTGTTGAAAATGTCGTTTTTGAAATAAAACAAATCAATGAAAATGCGTAAATGTTTGACTAATTGGTCCTTTAAAAATAGTGACGTTCTCATTTTTTCGTATGTTTGTTGGTAGCTTATGACAACATGTATATATGCGACAAACGTCCGGTCAGCTGATCAATCGACTATACCTAAATGAGCCGTCATTTTACTGATTTTATTGTGACATCACAATAACGACCAAACCCTTAATGATAATTCAGTACAGCAATTTCCTACCCGGCTTCATAAACAGATTATTTTGGCCTGAAGTTAGGGCCGATCAGTCAATTAATTTCATCCAGAATGATGATCAATGGTGTTAACTGTTGCATGTACTATTCCAAAATAGTTGTCAATAATCCGTTTTGACATAATAATTGCAAGAGACAACATTTATATAAATTAAAATATCGATGTTGCTCATTATGTATTCATCTTCCCTTATCTATTAAAACAATCCGTTATTATATAATATATGTAAGATATGCACTTAGAAAATGTATTTCACTTGCCGCATTGCTTTCAAAATTTCTGTAGAAAAAAGATATTCTTTAAAAAACAGAGTTGTGTAATAGTGATGATAATGTCAAATAAATGCCACCATTAGAAAAAAGATACACTACACATTGTTAACTACTTAATTTAATTTCAAATATTTAAATAAATTTTACGGCATCGATATCAGAGAGACGTTTGTTACAGGTTGTTTAGGATTCACATCATTCCCGAGGTTCATGAAAACAGAAATATCATTAACTTTATGTAAACTAGGACTATTGCAAAATCTTTCTCTACTTAACCATTACTATCATATTATATACACATTATAGCTTCTAATATAATCTAATAAAAATTAAGTTTTACCTTCCATTCCTTTCATTCCAACACCATATCCTCCATTTTGTCCCCACTCGAAGAGACAATCTGTGCTTCTCTGAGGAGGGACTTGTTGGTACCCAAAGGCTCCACCTAGGGACCCAAGAAAGGAGTCGGCAAACGGACCCGACATAAGAGACGTGATACTAAAAGCATTAGCCCGGGCTGAGAGAGGGCCGTTTATATCCATGAGTTAGTTAACGTGTTTCTAACGAACGTCAGAGCTGGCGTATATATAAAGTTTTTTACTTACTTTCTACAACAGTGATAAAGCGACAATAAATAAGACAAATGCGATTTTTGCCTGAAGCCAAACCCCCATATGATATGTCCAAAGGACATGCTGGGCTCTGATTGGTCGATTAAGTGTGTAATTGTGTGCCTCTCCCCCAGCACGCTCTGCTATAAATCATTAGTGCCGTACCCCCTCCCATCACCGAACGGGCCGCTACAGTAGGCTTACATACATCTCCGGTGTTTAGTATACATTTCGTACCTTTCTCGAGATTACAAGTGCCCTCCGTGTTTATAATTGCCAAACAATATTACACCGATCCGAGTTCTACAGGGACAATGATTTCAATAATCTTTAGACCCTCACCCTCTGGTTAGGATCTCAATTTAGCTTGAATGTATGGTAACGTTGTACGGAATTCACGCTGCAGGTTTGAGAAGGCAGTAGGCATGTATACAGTTAGTGTTTGCGCATATCTAACATTCATTAATCATCAGGGGGGTGTCAGATTCGACAGCCAACAATGACCATCCTTCCCCTTACGAACAGCACGCGCGTTATCCCCGATCGCTACCCCCTAGTAAGGTTAATTATACTCCTCAACTCCCTCCCCCTAAACATGCCATCACCACAGACAGACAAAATATTCATTTATAACCACATTAACGTATACTATGATCGTGCATTTATAAATAAGCTGATATTGATACGCAGTGTAACATTGCATATCTACAATTGTATAATTATATCAATTATATCATTTTTTGATTCATTTAATATATTGCTCATTTTAGTTTGAGTTTAACTTGAAGGCACGTAATAATACATGCAACATATATAGACAAAATACGTTTACTTTTAACTAGTACACAAAAATGAACGAAAGCCAAGCCAATTCCGGTCAGTTTAATCGCCAGTTAAATTAATAATCATAACTTAAGAATAAGTCACGGATCATCAGATGACATAATGTTTACTAGTAAATGTTTTTGATGAATATTGTTAAGACATTCACCATTGCAAGGTATATTTTCAATTCTTTATCGCGGCTTCACCTAAAGAAATGGACATCATGCTCTTTGTTCTCTGGGTTTTATTAATCTTCGACGTTGCTAATTCAAAGCCTTGTTCATGTCATCTGAATATGCATTGATAAAAATGGATTGCAAATATCACATAATGAAGTATAATATATATTGCCAAGCAACATCAATGAAATAAATTAGCGAAAACTATTTCAGTTATAATACCTTGAAATAACCTTACAACCCGTTTAGAAAATCTACTGATTCTTCCATGTCTGGTCTTTGCTTACTATGGAAAAGAATATAGAATAATCACTAGAAATAAGAAGAAAGAAAACACTCATTTAAAAACTTAGTAAGCAGAGAGGCTATCATAAGTATAAATACTGTGGTGAAATTATGAAAATCATATCGTCACTAGTGGTGATATAAACTTAATGTTGACGTCACAATTCAAAGACGGCTTTGTGATAATGATATTCAGTGATAGACTATGACAACATATTTTGCCTTTTCAGAAATAGTCAACAGTTAACCGTTGTACATCATCAAAAACGAGAGGGAAAAGCTGCTATTCTCGAAAAATGTCTTGAGGTATATAACACCAAACAGTTGAATATCATTTATATCTATTTTTTATCTACAATATCAACATGTTCATTGCGTTAAAATAAAGTGTTTAATGAAATTAACACATACTATATTAAAATCTAGTACAAATATAAAATCATGAAAAAAAACAATGTCAGCGTAGTAATTGAGTCCTGTGCACACTAATTGAGGCATAACATGACATTTCCGGATGAACTTTTTATTATAATGATTACAAACAGATGCACTGTGACCTAGGTAAATAAGCTATTTAAATTTTACAATGCAAATCGGTCAGAACAATGCACGCATATTTTGGTTTCTACCTTGATATTTCATTTTTTGAACGTTATTTGGTAAGGTTTTTCCAAAAGAGCATTGCATGTTTTTACATAAAAGTCTCGAATTATTTCTTTAGTTCTCAACAACATATATACAATGTATGTGTGCTTGGGAATTACTGATAAGATATGAGTTATATGACAAATTTATGATACAATATATATTATATGTGCAAACACCGGTGAATACATGAATAGGTGGAATTGATTAATAAATCATCCATAATCAAGCAGATAAATAGAAAGGTCCCAGTCGCCTATAATTGAAAAGATAATTAAAATAACTATAAAAAGTACACATCTATCAAATTATGTGAATGGAAAGACTATATTATAAACTTTTAAAATATAATATTTAATTCTTACTGACAAATTTTGAAAATATAGAAATAAAAATGTCAAGGCGATATCAAAATAAACAAATGTGATGACACTGTCGTATGGTGTGACAACAATGAAAACGAAACGTCAACATGACCGGGTCAGTTTAGAAATTTTATTAACAAACGTGACACGGTTTATTTATTCTAAACATTCAATGTAGTAAATAAACTAATGTTGTACAATTCGTTACGGGGAAATGATTCACAAATACAACACAATTATAAAATGTTTAAAGTCCCGGTTACACTGTCGAAAACTGTAACTACGCATTTGAACCTGCTTTTTTTCGGGCAAGATTATGGCTTTGATAATCAGTTCCTGAAATGAAAACCATGCCTTGAAAGAGTGTAAAACTTCGGTGGACTTCACCGGTATTCAATCGCTCTAACCGTTGCCTGGTCAGGAGCATTTTCCTCACCGCCCAGCAGTGCTACACTTATTTTAAAACGAAATTGGGGAATTTTACTGTATATACGAAAAAATACAGGGCAGTGGACCAGGGATCTCTAAGGGTGAAATCGAGTTACAATTAGCATACCTATGGCGTTTCCCTTCGATTTACCTTAACATTTTAAACATTTATGCAAATGATATATATCTTCAATTTTTAAAAGTTCATTCATAATTCATAAGCACTCATATTATCAATATTTTAATAGGATTCAGGAAGAATTACATTATTAAAAACGTCGTTAACATTCAACTTTTTGAACTTATCAAATTGTAAATATTGTAAATAATAATATAACCATATGCAGTTGAGCAACCATTTTATGATGTTAGTGAATTAAATTGTATTGATCTTTACAAGTACGAGTTTCAATTTTATGAATAATTTAAGTACTAATGTTAATGAAAAGGAATCAACGAAGAAAACGGTATATTTTTGTTTCGAAGGTTAAGTTTAACACTTATTCTGCATTAGTTCATATTAGATTTGGGGTTTCATATACAAAAACGATATACATATTTCATTTGGGTTGTCATATACACATTAAAGTGGGCTTTGGTTGGGGTTTTTTGGAGAGGGGAGAGGGGAGAGGTTCATGGATATTTTTGGGGGTTCCATATATAAATAGTGTAAACAGCATATGAGTTTATTACTGTTTCAAACAGTATACAGTTAGAAGTATATATTTGTTTTGTTTTAATGGATAAAAAGTTATAAATAGTTTCATATACATAGGTATAAGTATAGTGTTTGTACTTTCATGTGATTCATATTTATATTATCATTGGTATTTTATTATTATTACTTACTGATTCCTATTTGGTCCTGGCGGATTATCGTTAGTACTCATGAATAAACTTCTGAGAAAGATTGAGACAAATGCAAAGATCAGACAAAGGAAATAAGGTAAGACAATACTCACAAACAAATCAATACTTCAAAGTTTCTAGTTCAGTCGCAGTTGAAATGAAGAAAATACCTTGTATCATCGAAGATAAATTTGGGGAGTCACAATTGTTCTAGAAACATTGGAATGAACGGTTATGTGATCTGACAGTAAAGGAAATATCCATGGTTTCACAAGTCACCTAATGCTTGTACATTGTTTCCGCCTGTTTTGACACATTCAATTTTATGTAGCGAAGGAATTTTCGAAAGATTAAATGAAAATCATCTTGTCTTTCTTCGTCAATATTAACAATGGACGTCTTTCTTTACTTTGAAGTTATATCGTACCCCGATTGAATACGTTATAACTATTGCTGGTACAATATATCCAAGATCCATATCGTACCTTGAACGACTTATATGGAAAAATGAATGAATTATTCAACCAATCTTAAAAAGAAATTATAAAACGTTTCGTGACGTATGAAGTCCATGCGGAGAATTTTGATTGTAATAGAATTTGAATTATTTCTTTATTTAAAGTATAACAAAATTACGCGCAAGCGTGTTCTATTCAGTTCGTATTGGTACATGAATAGGAATTTGTCTTTGGGGTTGCATTTTGCGCTCGCACTTTAAAATAAATAGAAAAACAAACCAAAACAAATGACAAAGATTTGTAATTGTAAATCTGGATAAATTTCATACTCGTATTGCTATCAGTTTCAACACCTAATCAAAAGTAGCATCTTTGAAATTCACACGGGAATGTAACTTCTACGAATGTTTGTAGGACTTCATTTTTGCAAATAATGTAATTTTGAACATAAACTCATTTATACGCGAAGTGCAATCGTGAATCCGCACGTAATCCTAATGACATTTGACTTATTTGACAAGAATTCCTTTTCTTCACCTCGAATTGAAATGGAAATGTTTGCCTAATTTTTTCTTATCAGTGCGAATATTGGCAGTGTCAGAATCTTGAGTGCTTGTATGGTGGTGTGTTTACGTTCGGTGTAAGTATTATATATAAATATATCCGCTTTTCCGTGAGTAGAGGTAATGACGAGGGTAGGTACGTGATTCGTCAGCGGGCATACTCTAAAGTGTAGTACAATTATAACAACAGTAAACGTATCCCTGCTCCTGATCCTATATGTATTACAGGGAATGAAGGGGTATATCATGCTTCTTAGAGTATCAGATATCTATGTTTCACTATAGAAAATGAAAACAAATACATAAACAATACAGAATAACAGAGAGTGAAGGGGTATATCATAGTCATAATTTGCTAAGAGGATAAGCGATCTGTGTTACAATATAAAAAGGAAGATATATAAACAATACGGAATTACAGAGAGTGAAG